GGTTCTTTCCCCCTTTTCGCGCCGTGGCACACGAGTCGCTCGCGAGACGTATTTAGAGCCGCGCCTTAATCTTTCCCCTCCGCCGTTCGGACGCAAGTCGTGATTAAACAACGAATCACTACTCCGCTACCCACCTGGGCTTGACCACCTGCATGTGATATTGTGGCATGTTGTCTCTGCATCTGCAGCAGCCCGTACGAATTAAGAGTGCCATTGCAGCGGCCGCATCTGGTACCAGATAGACAATGCAGGACATACTTCACTCGTCGGGGTTGAGTTATTGGGCGGTGCTGGGGTGGGGCGTACATTTAAACAAAAATCTACTTAGGATGTTTTGTTGTTGTAATAAGCTTAGAGTCAACTACATCCGTGTCAAATGTCGGCTCTCTGTGCCGTCTAGAACGTCGTTAAAATTGTGCCGGACATCCGTGAAAAAAGCGCGTCATAGCTCATCGGATTTCTTCTCCAGTCTCAGTGAAGATTCTGATTCTGAATGAGTGAATCGTTGCGATTCAACACTCAGAGGCGATTCCCTTTTGTAAGCATCGTGGCGAGTGACAGCGGCCTTTAGTGGTCGCAGCGGCCACGTGAACCCCATCGCATGCAACAATCGCGAATACTGAAATCGCGCTTCAACCAATGCCACTGGACAAGCCTATCGTGAGATTTACACTCGATCTCGCTACGATTAGCGAAATTGTGCAGCACGGTCGTACGGTGACTCGGAGCGATGGAGTTAGCTCAGACTAGTGATGGAGTTAGCTCAGTCTAGTGATGGTGTTAGCTCAGACTAGTGATGGAGTTAGCTCAGTCTAGTGATGGAGTTAGTTAGCTCAGGCTAGTGATGGTGTTAGTTAGCTCAGGCTAGCGATGGAGTTAGCTCAGACTAGTGATGGAGTTAGCTCAGACTAGTGATGGAGTTAGCTCAGTCAAGTGATGGTGTTAGCTCAGGATAGTGATGGAGTTAGCTCAGGATAGTGATGGAGTTAGCTCAGACTAGTGATGGAGTTAGTTCAGACTAGCGATGGAGTTAGCTCAGGCTAGCAATGGAGTTAGTTAGCTCAGGCTAGCGATAGTGTTAGCTCAGGTCAGCGATGGAGTTAGCTCAGGATAGCGATGGAGTTAGCTCAGACTAGTGATGGAGTTAGCTCAGGATAGTGATGGAGTTAGCTCAGACTAGTGATGGTGTTAGCTCAGGATAGTGATGGAGTTAGCTCAGGATAGCGATGGAGTTAGCTCAGACTAGTGATGGAGTTAGCTCAGGATAGTGATGGAGTTAGCTCAGACTAGTGATGGTGTTAGCTCAGGATAGTGATGGAGTTAGCTCAGGATAGCGATGGAGTTAGCTCAGACTAGTGATGGAGTTAGCTCAGTCTAGTGATGGCGTTAGCTCAGGATAGCGATGGTGTTATCTCAGGCGAGTGATGGTGTTAGCTCAGGATAGCGTAGGTGTTAGCTCAGTCTAGTGATGGTGTTAGCTCAGGATAGCGTAGGTGTTATCTCAGGCGAGCAATGGAGTTAGCTCAGGATAGCGATGGTGTTATCTCAGTCTAGTGATGGTGTTAGCTCAGGCTAGCAACGGAGTTAGCTCAGTCTAGTGATGGCGTTAGCTCAGGATAGCAATGGAGTTAGCTCAGGCGAGTGATGGAGTTAGCTCAGGCTAGTGATGGAGTTAGCTCAGGCGAGCGATGGTGTTAGCTCAGGATAGTGATGGAGTTAGCTCAGGATAGCGATGGAGTTAGCTCAGACTAGTGATGGAGTTAGCTCAGGATAGTGATGGAGTTAGCTCAGACTAGTGATGGTGTTAGCTCAGGATAGTGATGGAGTTAGCTCAGGATAGCGATGGAGTTAGCTCAGACTAGTGATGGAGTTAGCTCAGGATAGCGATGGTGTTAGCTCAGACTAGTGATGGAGTTAGTTAGCTCAGACTAGCGATGGTGTTAGCTCGGGCTAGCGATGGAGTTAGCTCAGACTAGTGATGGAGTTAGCTCAGACTAGTGATGGAGTTAGCTCAGTCTAGTGATGGAGTTAGCTCAGGATAGTGATGGAGTTAGCTCAGACTAGTGATGGTGTTAGCTCAGGCTAGCAATGGAGTTAGCTCAGTCTAGTGATGGCGTTAGCTCAGGATAGCGATGGTGTTATCTCAGGCGAGTGATGGTGTTAGCTCAGGATAGCGTAGGTGTTAGCTCAGTCTAGTGATGGTGTTAGCTCAGGATAGCGTAGGTGTTATCTCAGTCTAGTGATGGTGTTAGCTCAGGATAGCGATGGTGTTATCTCAGTCTAGTGATGGTGTTAGCTCAGGATAGCGTAGGTGTTAGCTCAGTCTAGTGATGGTGTTAGCTCAGGCGAGTGATGGTGTTATCTCAGGCGAGCAATGGAGTTAGCTCAGGATAGCGATGGTGTTATCTCAGTCTAGTGATGGTGTTAGCTCAGGCTAGCAATGGAGTTAGCTCAGTCTAGTGATGGCGTTAGCTCAGGATAGCGATGGTGTTATCTCAGGCGAGCGATGGTGTTATCTCAGGCTAGTGATGGTGTTATCTCAGGCGAGTGATGGTGTTATCTCAGGCGAGCGATGGTGTTATCTCAGGCTAGTGATGGTGTTATCTCAGGCTAGCGATAGTGTTAGCTCAGGTTAGCGATGGAGTTAGCTCAGGCGAGCGATGGAGTTAGCTCAGACTAGTGATGGTGTTAGCTCAGACTAGTGATGGTGTTATCTCAGGCTAGTGATGGAGTTAGCTCAGGCTAGTGATGGTGTTATCTCAGGCTAGCGATGGAGTTAGCTCAGGCTAGCGATGGAGTTAGCTCAGGCGAGCGATGGAGTTAGCTCAGACTAGTGATGGTGTTAGCTCAGACTAGTGATGGTGTTATCTCAGGCTAGTGATGGTGTTATCTCAGGCGAGCGATGGTGTTATCTCAGGCGAGTGATGGAGTTAGCTCAGGCTAGCGATGGTGTTATCTCAGGCTAGTGATGGTGTTATCTCAGGCTAGTGATGGTGTTATCTCAGGCTAGTGATGGTGTTATCTCAGGCGAGTGATGGAGTTAGCTCAGGCTAGCGATGGTGTTATCTCAGGCTAGTGATGGTGTTATCTCAGGCTAGTGATGGTGTTATCTCAGGCTAGCGATGGTGTTAGCTCAGGTTAGCGATGGAGTTAGCTCAGGCGAGCGATGGAGTTAGCTCAGGCTAGTGATGGTGTTATCTCAGGCGAGCGATGGTGTTATCTCAGGCTAGTGATGGTGTTATCTCAGGCGAGTGATGGAGTTAGCTCAGGCTAGCGATGGTGTTATCTCAGGCTAGTGATGGTGTTATCTCAGGCTAGTGATGGTGTTATCTCAGGCTAGTGATGGTGTTATCTCAGGCGAGCGATGGTGTTAGCCCAGGCTAGCGATGGTGTTATCTCAGGCGAGCGATGGAGTTAGCTCAGGCGAGTGATGGTGTTATCTCAGGCGAGTGATGGTATTATCTCAGGCTAGCGATGGAGTTAGCTCAGGCTAGCGATGGTGCTATCTCAGGCGAGTGATGGTGTTAGGGATGGTGTTAGCTCAGGCTAGCGATGGTGTTATCTCAGGCGAGCGATGGAGCTAGCCGCGATGGGGGGATAGGGGGTGCTGGGGTGGGGCTAACTCCATCGGCGAAATGTTAACTCCCTCGCCTGGTATGCAGGAGGCAGTGGGTTTGATCCCGACCCTGACGCCTGCTGTATATTTGCAGTTTGCGTGTATCTCTCTCCCCGTGGTCGCGTGGATTTTTCTCCGGGTCCTCCGGTTTTTCCCTCCACGTTTACAATCAACATCACCACACGTTAAGAGTATTTGGCTGCTATAAATGTCCACGTGATAAGCCCCTTCGTCGAGCTATCGTTTGTGATAACCAGGTCGCTTCTGAAAAGGAGCCATATAGCTCAGTGGGGCTTACCTGCATCACCAAATATTGACTTAAAGCTTTCGTGACTGCAGGAATTCATAAGAATCCGCATCACCAACCCGCGCTGATCAGATTGGTGAAGTATGGTCAAACAACCCTCTTCGTGTGCTAATCTTAACACCACGGCGGCATCACATTGATCTGTATCATCATCATCATCTAAGTTTTTGTGGTTGTTGTTGTTTGACTTGCATCCCACTGGGATTTTTTGCACACAGCGTTGGTGTACGGTGCTTTTTTCAGGAATATTTTAGCTCTTTTTTTTCCATGGATTTTCTGTTTGCACAGTCACATAGTCACTTTAAGATGTTTTTCTTGTTCGTGTTTTTGTTTTTTTGCTTGTTGTGGTTGCACCCGATTCAAGAGCCGGATGGCTCACAGGGCTATACCAAAATAAACTGAAACTGAACTGAATCATATCAATATATATACAGCATGTGTATAAACATTTATAGACAACAACGCGTCGTATTATCATATTACATTATAATTTTCAGACCTTTGTGACGATGGCTGAAACTGCGTAAGCACTATCTCTGCTCGTCTGCAATGTAACGCGTGCATGTTGAATTTACTCTCGCGCCGTGCCTTACCAACCCTTGGCTCATCGGAGGTGCGGGTTAAGGACAGCAAACCGAACGCAACGAGGCAGTTCTAAAGACACGAGTTTTCACCCCAGGTGCTTTTAATAGTGCCGTAGCTTTCGGAGGGCTTCCGAATATCGGAGAGGAAGGGTGCGTTCCAGACGGCCGCAGAAGCGCCGCATCTGCCGAGGCGGTGTGAGCGGGCCACTTTCACTTTTTGTTCGATGACCGAGCCCCCAAAAAAATCCGCAGCCGCCGCCGCCGGCGCTTCTGCCGCGAGGATGATGAGCGGGGAGTGTCGCGTGCGTTGATGGGTTGTGCTCCTTGACGAGATTCGGGGCAGCGAGGTGATTTGTGCGGTCCGTTTGCGGCGTGCGCTCAGCGAGTGGGCAAATATAAAACGCGTTGATGTTTGTGACCCCCCACCCCACCCACGCTATTCACTTACCCCCACCACCTCCCCCTCACCCCCCACCCACCCCTCCCCACGCAGGAGTCACTGCCACGAATCGTTAAGGTGCCCGGTTGAGCACGGAGCAGAAGTGGGGAGAGAGAGAGGAGGAGGAGGAGGAAGGAGGAGGAGGAGAGAAGACGGAAGACAATAGCGCGTAACATATTGCGGGGAGTGTAGAGAGGAGAGAGAGAGGGGGGGGGGGAGAGTTAGAGAGGGAGGTGGGAGAGACGGGAGGCGAGAGGGTGAGGGGAGACAGCCAGGCGAGAGGCGCATCGAGCGATATATGCTGCAGAGAACAGACTGCCGCGTACCTAGCGACTGAGAGAGACTCGGCGACACGCAGAAGGAAGGTCCAGCAATTAAACTGGCGGAGAGCAGATATAGTGAGCGACGCAGACAGACAGACACGCGTACAGGGCAACATTGAGACTGGCAGAGAGGGAGAGAGAGATACAAAAAATATCAATCTGAGAATATTCAGATACTGAGACGCGGGGAGACATCGGGGTAGAGAGAGTACAGACACGCAGACGGACACGGAGACAGACCGACTTACATTCAGATCGACGGACTGACTGGGCAGGCTTTTGAGATATTCAGCTACGGACACAAACACACACAGGCAGAGAGACCAGACGTGTGACACACGCGGTCACTCACACGCTCTGAGACACAAACACAAGCGCTCGCGCACACACAAAGACACACACATCCAGGCAGAGGCCAGCGGCAAACCGGGACACGCACGCCCACGGATACACACACCGACGCAGAGATACGCAAACACACAGGGATATACACACACTGACACTCATACACACAGAGACACGCGCAGACACACAGCCACACGCGCACAGACACACGCTGACATAGACAAATATTCCCCGTATATCTTTAACAGAGTGTTGGGATAAGTTCTGTTAGCGAGACACAGACACACGCGCACAGACACACTGACACACGTGCACTGACACACACACACTGACACACACACACACTGACACACACACTGATACATACGCACTGACACACACAAACTGACACACACACTGACACACGCGCACTAACACACGCGCACTGACACACACACACTGACACACAGAGTGACACACACACACTGACACACACACACACTGACACACATAGTGACACACACATACTGACACACACGCTGACACACACACTGACACACACACACACACACTGACACGCACACACTGACACACACAGTGACACACACACACACTGACACACACACTGACACACACAGTGACACACACACACTGACACACACACACACTGACACACACACACTGAGACGCACACACTGACACACACACTGACACACACACTGACACACACAGTGACACACTGACACACACACACTGACACACATACACACACTGACACACACAGTGACACACACACACACACTGACACACACACACACTGACACACACACAGTGACACACACACACTGACACACACGCTGACACACACACTGACACACACACACACTGACACACACACACTGACACACACAGTGACACACACACACTGACACACACACTGACACACACACTGACACACATTAACACACTGACACACACACAGCGACACACACACACACTGACACACACACACACTGACACACTGACACACACACACTGACACACACACTGACACACTGACACACACACACTGACACACACACACTGACACACACACACTGACACACACACATTGACACACTGACACACACACACTGACACACACACACTGACACACACACACACTGACACACACTGACACACACACGCACACTGACACACACACACACACTGACACACACACACTGACACACACACACACTGACACACACACACACACTGACACACACACACTGACACACACACTGACACACACACACTGACACACACACAGACACACTGACAAACACACACTAACACACACAGTGACACACACACTGACACACACACACACTGACACACTGACACACACACACTGACACACACACACACACTGACACACACACACTGACACACACACACACTGACACACACACACTGACACACACACACACTGACACACACACACTGACACACACACAGACACACTGACACACACACACACACTGACACACACACACTGACACACACACACACACTGACACACACACTGACACACACACACACACTGACACACACACACACTGACACACACACTGACACACACACACACTGACACACACACTGACACACACACACTGACACACTGACACACACACACACTGACACACACACACACTGACACACACACACTGAGACACACACACACTGACACACACACACACTGACACACACACACACACTGACAAACACACACTAACACACACACTGACACACACACACAGTGACACACACACACACTGACACACACACACACTGACACACACACACTGACACACACTGACACACACACACAGTGACACACACACACTGACACACACACACTGACACACACTGACACACACACACAGTGACACACACACAGTGACACACACACACACTGACACACACACACACACACTGACACACACACACTGACACACACACACTGACCACACACACTGACACACACACACACAGTGACACACACACACAGTGACACACACACAGTGACACACACACAGTGACACACACACACACACTGACACACACACACTGACACACACACTGACACACTGACACACACACACAAGCACGCGGGGCAGGTATGGCCCTTCTCGTGCTCTGCATCGTCGCCGCTCTGTGCAGTAGCCGCGCGCTCCTGGCCGCTCGTCCCTCCTCCTCCTCGTCCGCCGCGGGCCGTGGGTCCGTAGGGTCCGGGTTGGGCTCCGGCCCGGGGCTGTCCTCGGTGCCCAACTCCGGGTTGGGGATGGGGGGGCCGCTGCGTCGGAGAGGAGAGGGAGGAGGAGGAGGAGGCTCGTCGGGAGCCCGGGGGGGATCGGCGGGCGGGCCCAATCGCTCTCTGCAGCAGCAGCAGCAGAAGCATCTGCAGCTGCAGCAGCAGCTGCAGCAGCAGCAGGCGGGGTCGAGCGGTAGCTCCCCGGATCCGTGCTACAACGAGAGTGGCCACCCGCGTCGCTGCATCCCCGACTTCGTGAACGCGGCGTTCGAGAGGGAGGCGCGCGCCAGCAGCACGTGCGGGAGCCCCCCGGCACGGTGAGCGCGCGCCCCCCCCCCCCTTTGCCCCCCCCGCGTAGTGGTGAGCCCCCCCCCCCACACACACACACACTCCTCCCTACTGTTGGTGTGTGTGTCCGCTGGTGACCCCCCCCCCAACTCCCTGTGCACCCCCCCTACTACCGGTGCCCACTCTTGGTGACCCCCCCTCCACTCTTGGTGAGCCCCCCCCCCACTCCTGGTGACCCCCCCCCACTCCTGGTGACCCCCCCTTCACTCCTGGTGACCCCCCCCCCCCCACTCCTGGTGAGCCCCCCCCCCCCCACTGCTGGTGTTGAGCTTCCCGTGAGCCCGGCCCCCCTGCCGAGCTATAGTATTTGTAGTGGGCAGTAGGATGCGGAACAGTAGCAGCAGTAGCAGCAGTAGCAGCAGGACGAGTAGCAGCAGTATCAGCAGTAGCCGCAGGAGCAGCAGGAGCAATAAGCGGGCTCTTTCAACACGCATGTGAATAGTAGCGCCTCTGGTGGCTGCTAGGGCGAGGAGCCCACTTCGATACAGTGAGGGAAAAAAAGTATTTGATCCCCTGCTGATTTAGTACGTTTGCCCACTGACAAAGAAATGATCAGTCTATAATTCTAATGGTAGGTTTATTTGAACAGTGAGAGACAGAATAACAACAAAAATCCAGAAAAACGCATGTCAAAAATGTTATAAATTGATTTGCATTTTAATGAGGGAAATAAGTATTTGACCCCCTCTCAATCAGAAAGATTTCTGGCTCCCAGGTGTCTTTTATACAGGTAACGAGCTGAGATTAGGAGCACACTCTTAAATGGAGTGCTACTAATCTAAGCTTGTTACCTGTATAAAAGACACCTGTCCACAGAAGCAATCAATCAATTAGATTCCAAACTCTCCACCATGGCCAAGACCAAAGAGCTCTCCAAGGATGTCAGGGACAAGATTGTAGACCTACACAAGGCTGGAATGGGCTACAAGACCATTTCCAAGCAGCTTGGTGAGAAGGTGACAACAGTTAGTGCGATTATTCGCAAATGGAAGAAACACAAAATAACTGCCAATCTCCCTCGGCCTTGGGCTCCATGCAATATCTCACCTCGTGAAGTTGCATTGATCATGAGAACGGTGAGGAATCAGCCCAAAACTACAGGGGATGATCTTGTCAATAATCTCAAGGCAGCTGGGACCATAGTCACCAAGAAAACAATTGGTAACACACTACGCCGTGAAGGACTGAAATCTTACAGCACCCGCAAGGTCCCCCTGCTCAAGAAAGCACATATACATGCCCGTCTGAAGTTTGCCAATGAACATCTGAATGATTCAGAGGACAACTGGGTGAAAGTGTTGTGGTCAGATGAGACCAAAATGGAGCTCTTTGGCATCAACTCAACTCGCCGTGTTTGGAGGAGGAGGAATGCTGCCTATGACCCCAAGAACACCATCCCCACCATCAAACATGGAGGTGGAAACATTATGCCTTGGGGGTGTTTTTCTGCTAAGGGGACAGGACAACTTCACCGCATCAAAAGGACGATGGACGGGGCCATATACCGTCAAATCTTGGGTGAGAACCTCCTTCCCTCAGCCAGGGCATCGAAAATGGGTCGTGGATGGGTATTCCAGCATGACAATGACCCAAAACACACGGCCAAGGCAACAAAGGAGTGGCTCAAGAAGAAGCACATTAAGGTCCTGGAGTGGCCTAGCCAGTCTCCAGACCTTAATCCCATAGAAAATCTGTGGAGGGAGCTGAAGGTTGCCAAACGTCAGCCTCGAAACCTTAATGACTTGGAGAAGATCTGCAAAGAGGAGTGGGACAAAATCCCTCCTGAGATGTGTGCAAACCTGGTGGCCAACTACAAGAAACGTCTGACCTCTGTGATTGCCAACAAGGGTTTTGCCACCAAGTAATAAGTCATGTTTTGCAGAGGGGTCAAATACTTATTTCCCTCATTAAAATGCAAATCAATTTATAACATTTGTACATGCGTTTTTCTGGATTTTGTTGTTGTTATTCTGTCTCTCACTGTTCAAATAAACCTACCATTAAAATTATAGACTGATCATTTCTTTGTCAGTGGGCAAACGTACAAAATCAGCAGGGGATCAAATACTTTTTTCCCTCACTGTATGACGTGACTCGATAATGAATATAATTGATGTTCATTATCTTGATTAGACTCAGCCTCGTGTCAGCTGGTGACACTGCGCGGCCGATGCACAGCGCTCGCTCGCTGTCGTCGAGACCGAGGGAGAGAGAGGACGACTCAGAAAGAGAGAGAGGACGACTCAGAGAGAGAAAGGACGACTCAGAGAGAGAGAGGACGACTCAGAGAGAGAGAGGACGACTCAGAGAGAGGACGACTCAGAGAGAAAGGACGACTCAGAGAGAGAGAGGACGACTCAGAGGCGCCGGAAGGAGGACGAGAGACCACACATGAGCGAGAAGGCAGCAGCAGCTGCTGCAGCCACGCGATTCGCCCGTGCAAAATCCCACCCCCAGCCTCTGCGGTCCTCTATACATGAAGGCGTTTTCGGCCACTGAATTCACGTTTACGTTTGGGAGGAAATCGGAGCACCCGGAGAAAACCCTCGCGTGCAAGGGGGCAACGCTCTATCCCGTACAAATGGAACGGGCGGATCCAAACGTGTTGTTGTTGTGCCGCTTTCTCCTGGAACAGCCACCTCCCCGTTGCCCGCGGAAAGGGAGTTTCACGCAACGTCTCTGTGTGTGCGCGCGTGATCCACCAACCCCCTCGCTGCCGCCTCCACACACACGGTGCTGGGTTACAGGCAGCGCGTGCAGCAGTAGGAGCAGCAACAGCGTGAGTCGCGGCTAGCGCACGAGCAGCGGCGGGCAGCAAAAGCGGCCGTCCAAGGCAGTGCTTTAGTGTGAATATAATCATCAGCAGCAGCAGCAGCAAAATCCTCGTCATCTTCAATTTCGAGCAACATTCGCAGCAGCGGCGGCAGTGGGGTGAGATAGCAGCAGCAGCAGCTAGCAATCAACCTCGTGTCATCCGCGTCGTCACGGCAGTCACTTTCCACGTCCACCCCCCTCCCCACTCGCAATCTTCTGTAGGTACTGCTCCTCTCTCTCCTCATCCTCCTCCTCATCCTCCTCATCCTCGGGTCCTTCCGGAGGCGACGGCCGGGGTCACATCCTCTCCGGCGCTGCGGCTGCGGCGGCGGCGGCAACGGGAGGAGGAGGAGGAGGCGTCGGCGGTAACGTCGGCGTCGGCTGCCGCATCTGCGACTCGTCCGACCCGCGCAGCGCCCACCCTCCCACGCTGCTCACCGACCTCCACAACCCGCACAACGCCACGTGCTGGCTCTCAGAGGCGGGCCTGCCGCCCGGCCACAACGTCACCGTCGTGGTGCCCCTGGGCCTCAAGTACGAGGTGACCTTCGTGAGCGTCCAGTTCTGCACGCCGCTGCCGCCCGACTCGCTCGCCATCTACAAGTCCATGGACCGGGGCAAGACGTGGGTGCCCTTCCACTTCTACTCGAGCCAGTGCCGACGCGTCTTCGGCCGGCCGCACCGAGGCACCGTCACCAAGATGACCGAGCAGGAGGCGCTGTGCACCGACGCACACCTAGCCCAGGGCCTCGTGGCCTTCAGCACGCTGGACGGGCGTCCCTCGGCCAACGATTTCGCCAACAGCCCCGTGCTGCAGGACTGGGTGACGGCCACCGACATCAAGGTGGTGCTGGTCAAGCCGTGGAGCAATTTGGCCGGGGGCTCGTCATCCTCGTCATCCTCCTCCGGCGGAGTCATCGGCGGCGTCGTCTCGCCGGGGTCGGTCTCGCCGCCGGGGTCGGCCGCCGGCGGTGTCAGCAACGAGCTGGCGGACGGAACGCCGCCCGAGAGTCGCTACCACGGTGTGGCCGACATCCAAGTGGGGGGCCGCTGCCGCTGCAACGGCCACGCGTCGCGGTGCGGCCGCGACCGCGACGGGGCGCCCGCGTGCGAGTGCCGCCACAACACGGGCGGGCCGCAGTGCGACTCGTGCCGCGCCTTCCACCACGACCGGCCCTGGCAGAGGGCGACGAGCAGAGACGCTCACGAGTGCGTCGGTGAGTCGGCGGCGGCGGCGGCGGCGGTGGTGGTGGAGAGTGTGAGAGTAGTGATGGTGGTGGTGAGTGTGAGCGTGGTGGTGGTGGTGAGTGTGAGCGTGGTGGTGGTGGTGAGTGTGAGCGTGGTGGTCGTGGTGAGTGTGAGAGTAGTGGTGGTGAATGTGAGAGTGGTGGTGGTGGTGAGTGTGAGCGTGGTGGTGGTGGTGAGTGTGAGAGTAGTGGTGGTGGTTGTGTGAGTGGTGGTGAGTGTGAGCGTGGTGGTGGTGCGCGTGAGAGTGGTTGTGGTGAGTGTGAGAGTGGTTGTGGTGGTGAGCGTGAAAATGGTGGTGGTGAGCGTGGGAGTGGTGGTGAGCGTGAGAGTGATGGTAGTTGTGGTGAGTGTGAGAGTAGTGGTGGTGGTGGTTGTGTGAGTGGTGGTGGTTGTGTGAGTAGTGGTGGTTGTGTGAGTGGTGGTGGTTGTGTGAGTAGTGGTGGTTGTGTGAGTGGTGGTGGTGAGTGTGAGAGTGATGGTGGTTGTGTGAGTGGTGGTGGTGAGTGTGAGAGTAGTTGTGGTGGTGGTTGTGTGAGTGGTAGTGGTGAGTGTGAGAGTAGTGGTGGTGAGTGTGAGAGTAGTGGTGGTGAGTGTGAGAGTAGTGGTGGTGGTGAGTGTGAGAGTGGTGGTGGTGAGTGCGAGAGTGGTGGTGGTGGTGAGTGTGAGAGTGGTGGTGGTGAGTGTGAGAGTGGTGGTGGTGGTGGTGAGTGTGAGCGTGGTGGTGGTGCGCGTGAAAGTGGTTGTGGTGGTGGTGAGTGTGAGCGTGGTTGTGGTGAGTGTGAGAGTGGTTGTGGTGGTGAGCGTGAAAATGGTGGTGGTGAGCGTGGGAGTGGTGGTGAGCGTGAGAGTGGTGGTGGTGAGTGTGAGAGTAGTGGTGGTGGTGGTTGTGTGAGTGGTGGTGGTTGTGTGAGTAGTGGTGGTTGTGTGAGTGGTGGTGGTTGTGTGAGTAGTGGTGGTGAGTGTGAGAGAAGTGGTGGTAGTGGTGGTGGTTGTGTGAGTGGTGGTGGTGAGTGTGAGAGTGGTTGTGGTGGTGAGTGTGAGAGTGATGGTAGTGATGGTGAGCGTGAGAGTGGTGGTGGTGGTGGTGGTTGTGTGAGTAGGATAAAACGCAGCAAATTGGCACAGTGCTAGGGCACAGCTGATGCATCTACCGCTCATCTCAGTCAGTCAACCCACGGCACCACCTGGGCCTGTCCCGTGACCTCCTCCTGTCAGCCGGCTTGTGTGCACCTAACACGGCACAAGCATCGTGGTAACGTCACCGCCACTTCACATTCTGTTAAGGCAATAAGTGGGTATCTTTGTCTTTGGTGTGAGTGGTTAGAGACAAATATCCCCCGTATAGCCTTAGCAGACTTTTGGGGTGAGTGCTGCTCACGAGTAGCACCTATGAAAGCCGACACGGCCCGGCCGCCTTTGTCTCCCCAGTGCTGATGCTTACACAACGCACCAGGTGCTAATTGGTGTGAGTGGTGGCGAATAGTGGTGGCGGTGGTGATGGTGGTCGTGTCCGTGGCAGCGATAATGGCGGTGGTGGTGGCTCACTAACCGTTACACCACCGCTCATCGTTATCATTTGGCATTGGTGGTGGTGGTGATGATATCGATGAGTGAGTATCACCCAATAAATCATCCCGTTCGGTAACCGATGCGAGTGGTGGGTAGCGTTGGAGGTGGTGGTGGTGGCTGAGAGCAGGAATCGAACTCGGGTGGCTATTACGTTAATAGCGACAACGCCCTAAACGCTACACCCAGTGCTGGATGAAGCTCGTGCGGGGCCGGTAGCATATGTTATGAAGGGGCCCTAAAAATATTAAAACGCATACATGTTTAACTTGCATAATAAAGTAATTGTAAAATGTTCATTTGCTTTACAGCAATATAATACGACAAATCGCTAACCTTAAACACCCAGTCGTCGTTCATAAAAGTTGAAGGCGGTATAGTACTATAGTAATAGAGCAAGTGGAGAGTCACTGAACCGGAATTGATAGCTTGAAAGCATTTAGCGCGGGGCCCTTGAAAATGCGGGGCCCGTAGCTACTACTACATATGTAGTAGCTACTACTACATATGTAGCTACTTTTGCTACTGGGATCATCCGGAACTGGCTACACCACCGCTCATCGTTATCAGTGAGTGGTGGTGGGTGGTTGATTTCGATGAGTAAGTCTCACCCAATAAATCACCCGGTTGGACAGCCGTTGCAAGGTCAACCTCGTGACCGCTCCTCTGTCTCTGCCGCCAGCCTGCCGCTGCAACCTGCACGCGAGCCGCTGCCGCTTCAACATGGAACTCTACAAGCTGTCGGGACGTACCAGCGGAGGAGTCTGCCTCACGTGCCGCCACAACACCGCCGGCCGGCACTGCCACTACTGCAAGGAGGGCTTCTTCCGCGACCTCGGCAAGGCCATCTCCGACCGCAAGGCGTGCAGGCGTGAGTCGCCACCACCACCGCCACCGACAAACAGAGACAAAGCTCCCCCGTGTAGCCTTCACAGACTGTTGGGGCAAGTGCTGTTAGCGAGTAGCATCTGTGAAGGCCGCGACGGTACACGAGGGGAGGGGGGGGGGGCTGGGGGGATGGGTGGTCAGCACCACGCCCGACCGCCTTTGTCTCCCCAGTGGCGATGTTTACACACCGCACCAGGTACTCATTTGAGGCCGAGTCGACCTAGGGGAGGCCCGGGACCGGTTCAGATAATCGTCACTGGTGTTGGCTACCGTGAGCGGGAATCGAACCGGGGTCGCCGGGTTCATAGTGCAGCGCGCCAACCGCTACACTACCGCTCCCCACCGACAAACACCACCACAACAACAAACAACAACAATAACAACAACCGTCATTCGCCACCAAGTAGTGCGTTGACTGTGTGGGTTCATAGTCTCTGGGATGCATGGCCACAGTCGCACTGCAGTGGCTCGTCTTGGTTGTAACTCTTAAGTATTTCTAGGACTCTCTATGTTATGTACGTGTGTCTCTATGGGTCTCTAGGTGTCTGTATGTGTCCCTATGTCTCTATGTATCTTCCACGTATCTTTATCTTCTTGCGTATGGCAGCGATGTGGTCCAGGTAGCTCGATGTCACCAATGTGGAGGTTTTACCGCAGCTGCTGCTGCTGCTGGCCACGACGACAGTGCTTCAGCAGAGAGACAGAGGGAGAGACTTCGTGTCGTGTCGCCGCCCTTCCTCCTCCTGCGTTGAAGGAGCGTAGACCACAGTGGGTTTACTCTGCGGCCCATAGTCTTGATTTGCATGGCCACAATTCCACTCCTGTGGCTTGTCTTTAAAGTGTCTCTCTGGGTCTCTCTGGGTTTCTGTGTATCTCTACGTGTCTCTGTGTTTACTCAATGGTCCACAGTGTGAGATGCATGGCCACAATTACACTCCTGTGGCTTGTCTTTAAAGTGTCTCTCTGGGTCTCTATGGGTTTCTGTGTACCTCTACGTGTCTCTGTGTTTACTCAATGGTCCACAGTGTGAGATGCATGGCCACAATTACACTATTGTTGCTTGTCTTTAAAGTGTCTCTCTGGGTCTCTATGGGTTTCTGTGTACCTCTACGTGTCTCTGTGTTTACTCAATGGTCCACAGTGTGAGTTGCATGGCCACAATTCCACTACTGTGGCTTGTCTTCAATATGTCTCCATGGGTCTCTACGAGTATCTCTGTGCATCTCTACGAGTCTCTAATATCTTCACGTCTCACCGATTTACTCTACGGTCCATCGACTTGCTTGCATGGACACAACCGCGCCGTCATCTGTAAAGGAGATGTGCGGTCATTATCGGCCCGGTGATGTTGGTCCGATGCGGTTGATGATGATGGTTGAACCTTCAGTGCCTTCGTGGAGGAGGATGAGGAGGAGGAGGGATGTCAAAGCCCAGGATGGGCAACCTTTGAGGAGCGCTCCCCATTATTGATGTTCGACGAATGACCACGACAACAGCGTTGACGCATCACCACGTGGACAATGCCAGCCGCCGTTGACAATCGGAGCAATCACCCCCCCTATCCGCCCCCCCCCCCCACTCCCGACCACCACCCGACCTGACCCCACCGACCGTGGAGTTCCGACCACACACGCACCGGGGCCGTGACATTATCTCACTCTCTCACTCTCTTACTCACTCACTCTCTCACTCTCTCACTCTCTTACTCACTCACTCTCTCACTCTCTCACCCTCTCACTCTCTCACTCTCTCACTCTGTCACTCTCTCACTCACTCACTCTCTCACTCTCTCACTCACTCACTCTCTCACTCTCTCACTCTCTCACTCACTCACTCTCTCACTCTCTCACTCACTCACTCTCTCACTCTCTCACTCTCTCACTCTCTCACTCACTCACCCTCTCACTCACTCACTCTCTCACTCTCTCACTCTCTCACTCTGTCACACTGTCACTCACTCACTCTCTCACTCTCTCACTCTCTCACTCACTCACTCTCTCACTCTCTCACTCTCTCACTCTGTCACTCTCTCACTCACTCACTCACTCTCTCACTCTCTCACCCTCTCACTCTGTCACTCTCTCACTCTCTCACTCTCTCACTCTGTCACCCTCTCACTCACTCACTCTCTCACTCTCTCACTCTGTCACTCTCTCACTCACTCACTCTCTCACTCTGTCACTCTCTCACTCACTCACTCTCTCACTCACTCACTCACTCTCTCACTCTCTCACCCTCTCACTCACTCACTCTCTCACTCTCTCACTCTCTCACTCTCTCACTCTCTCACTCACTCTCTCACTCTCTCACTCACTCACTCTCTCACTCTCTCACTCTCTCACTCTGTCACTCTCTCACTCACTCACTCTCTCACTCTCTCACTCTGTCACTCTCTCACTCACTCACTCTCTCACTCTGTCACTCTCTCACTCACTCACTCTCTCACTCTCTCACTCTGTCACTCTCTCACTCACTCACTCTCTCACTCTGTCACTCTCTCACCCTCTCGCTCTGTCACTCTGTTACTCTCTCACTCTCTCACTCTCTCACTCACTCACTCTCTCACTCACTCACTCTCTCACTCTGTCACCCTCTCACTCTGTCACTCTGTCACTCTCTCACTCACTCACTCACTCTCTCACTCTCTCACTCACTCACTCTCTCACTCTGTCACTCTCTCACTCACTCACTCTCTCACTCTGTCACTCTCTCACCCTCTCGCTCTCTCACTCTGTCACTCTCTCACTCTGTCACTCTCTCACCCTCTCGCTCTGTCACTCTGTTACTCTCTCACTCTCTCACTCTGTCACTCTGTTACTCTCTCACTCTCTCACTCTCTCACTCTCTCGCTCTCTCACTCTGTCACTCTATCACTCTGTCACTCACTCACTCTCTCACTCTCTCACTCTCTCACTCTCTCACCCTCTCGCTCTCTCACTCTGTCACTCTCTCACTCTGTCACTCTCTCACTCTCTCACTCTCTCGCTCTCTCGCTCTGTCACTCTCTCACTCTCTCGTCCGGGGTGAGGTCCCCGCTCTCGGAAATTCGCTACCTCCCCCCCACCCCCACCGATCGTAAAAGGCCGAGAACGCGCCGCTCGCTCCCCCCTCCCAGCTCCCTCCGCCACGCGAGACCCCCCCCCCACGCCCCCTTCCCCCGCCGTCTCCATCTCGGGAACGTCTCCGGGTGCAGTAAAAGTCGGGCCCGACGGTCGACCTTGGACCTCCGAGGAGGAGGAGGAGGGAGGAGGAGTAAAACATGTTTTTATTTGGTGTTAACCACCAGGGCACCGCTGTGGCTAGGAGGTGTTAACTACCTCGCCTGGTATACAGGAAGTTAGTGGGTTCGATCCCGACCCTGACGCTTGCTGTATATTTGTAGTTTGCGTGTCTCTCTCTCTCATCATCATCACCATGGTGGCTAAGAGATGTTAACTACCTCGCCTGGTATACAGGAGGTTAGTGGGTTCGATCCCGACCCTGACGCCTGCTGCTGTATATTTGTAGTTTGCGTGTCTCTCTTTCTCATCATCATCATCATCATCACGGTGGCTAGGAGATGTTAACTACCTCGCCTGGTATACAGGAGGTTAGTGGGTTCGATCCAGACCCTGACGCCTGCTGCTGTATATTTGTAGTTTGCGTGTCTCTCTTTCTCATCATCATCACCATGGTGGCTAGGAGATGTTAACTACCTCGCCTGGTATACAGGAGGTCGTAGGTTCGATCCCGACCCTGACAACGCCTGCTGTATATTTGTAGTTTGCGTGTCTCTCTTTCTCATCATCATCACCATGGTGGCTAGGAGATGTTAACTACCTCGCCTGGTATACAGGAGGTTAGTGGGTTCGATCCCGACCCTGACAACGCCTGCTGCTGTATATTTGTAGTTTGCGGTGTCTCTCTCTCTCTCTCTCATCATCATCACCATGGTGGCTAGGAGATGTTAACTACCTCGCCTGGTATACAGGATGTTAGTGGGTTCGATCCCGACCCTGACAACGCCTGCTGCTATATATTTGCAGTTTGCGTGTCTCTCTTTCTCATCATCATCATCACCATGGTGGCTAGGAGATGTTAACTACCTCGCCTGGTATACATGAGGTCGTGGGTTCGATCCAGACCCTGACGCCTGCTGCTGTATATTTGAAGTTTGCGTCTCTTTCTCTCTCTCCGTCTCCCCGTAGTCGCGTGGAATGTGTCTCCGGCTTTTTCCCTCCCGTCAGCGTCGCGCGTTTTAGAGTATTTGGCTGCTGCGATGGATGTCCACGTGACGGTGAGCCCCGCTTCGCCGAGCTATCGTTTGTGGGCGCGCCGCTTCTGCAGAAAGAGCTACACAGCCCAGTGGGGCCTTGACCTGGTAAAATAAAATGAGTTTATTTTTTTTTATAGTTTAACTTCAAGGTTCGCGAGCTGGGTCCCTTGTGTGCGTGTGGGTGGTGGTGGTGGTGGCGGTAGTGTAGCGGGTAGCGGTATCCACAACATAGGGGGGTTTTTTTGGAGGGGTTAGAATCTCGTAAATTTCAATCTGTCGCTAAACCCGCCACCACCCGACACATCCATATATATTATTACGGATGATGTCTGTCGCGAAAGCCTCCGTGTCAATAACAATATTATTGCGTTATTTTATTTTATCAATGTATTATCTTATTCTCATTCTACGTGGTGACTTTACCGAAAGAACCAAAGAAGATGAATCCTTGCAGTCACGAAAGCTTTTAATCGAAAATGTGTTAAACTGGTGAGCAGCATGCCGTGGCAAGTGCAACGGCGTCGGAACGCCGGGCTTGGATTGGCGAGCCGGGCGGGGTGGCCCATGTAGGTGGTCATTGCAGCGGTGCATGCCGGGCCGAGGACAATTAGTTGGGCGCTGCGTGAGCTGAATAACCCTGTCGCTCACTTTGACGAACAGAGAAGAACGTTCGTGCAAGCTGCGATGTTTCAGTTTTCAGTTTCATTTATTAGGTACGAGCTTTGCTACCCGGCTTCGCCCGGGGCTTTGGATTCACGACGCCCGGCCGCCTTTGTCTCCCCAGTGGCGATGTTCACACACACAACACAGCAGTTGCTCGTTTGAGGCTGAGTCGACCTAGGGGAGGCCCAGGACCGATTTAAATAATCGTCACCGGTGGTGGCCGTAAGCGGGAATCGAACTCGGGTCGCCGGGTTCGTAGCACAGCGTAGCGCTAACCACTACACCACCGCTCCCCCCCCACACACACACGTCCATAGGTACACACACACGCGTTTGCTGCAGACACACACACACAACTTTCACGGCGCGTACGGCAGTAAACGACTCAAATAATAAAGCAATGCTGCGCGAAGAACGCCTTAGACCTGCAACACATTTGCATTTCACTTTACCCGCGATCAGCTGGCACGCTCCGTTACGCATCCGCGCACGGGTCACATGACAGTTGTGACGTCACAGCTCACTTGCCGTGCAAAAAATATATCCATTATTGCGCCCCCTCCCCCCCAAAAAATACAAGTCTATTTTTTTTTAAATGTCATGATGTACAGTCTGGAAAGTACCCACATGGTAAATTTCAAGTATGTTGCATGTCGGGAAGTACGCTAAACATTTTGAACAAACAACACACAATCACAACTTTGCCTTTTATATATATATGGAGATAACCCTGTGAGCCATGCGGCTCTTGACTCAGGTGAAACCGCAACAAAGCAAAAACACACAAACAAGAAAAACATCTTAAAGTGACTACGCGCAACAGAAAAATCCAGAAAAAACACACAGCAAAGTAGTAGTAGTAGCATTGTTGGGTAAATTGCACCGACCTGGATTGGGGAAGTATGGTCGACAAAAAGAAAACGACTTAGCCCCCTATGCTGCCACGCGATCCATAGCATCCTCCGCGGGCAATGTTTACCCAAAAGGTGCCGGAAATAATCCAGTTCGCTCCGTCAAATCCCACCTCGCCCGGCCTGGCTCAAGCACGAATTGTCTCCCCCCCCCCCCACCCCTCTCGGCGCCCCCCCCCCCCCCTAATCTCAGGCTTCCTCACCACCCACCCACCCATCCACCCCTCCCTCTCCGCTCTCTCAAAGTCTCCTTTGTAGTCCGCAAGATAGCCGAGGTGTTGACGATAAAGTTCGATACAGGTTATCGCCGCCCGTTAAAAGAGTTATGGTGGTGTGGGGTGGGGGTAGCGGCTGGGAGAGAGAGGGGGGGGGGGGTCTCCGTAAAAATCGCTTTCACACCTCAAGGGGCAACACGAGGCGATAAACAAAGACAAAGATGCCCCCTGTAGCCCCACGGACCACTGGGGCAAGTGCTGTTGACGAGCACCTGTCAAGGCCGGCACGTCACGCGAGGAAGTGCTGTGGTCAACACCAAACAACAAAGACAAAGACCCCCCCCCCCCCCCCCCCGGTATAGCCTTTAACAGACTGTTGTGGCAAGTGCTATTAGAGTGCACCACCGAATGAAGGCCGGAACAGCACACGAGGGGTTGAGTGGCCAGCACCACGCCCGCCCGGCCGCCTCTGTCTCCCGAGTGGCGATGTTTATACATCGCAACCAGGTGCTACGTTTGAGGCTGAGTCGACCTAGGAGAGGTCGATTCAGCCAACGGTGTTGGCCGTGAGCGCAGAGCACTAACCACTACACTACCGCTCCCCATTCAAAAAAAGACAAAGATCCCCTGTATAGCCTTAACAGACTGTATGGGCAAGTGCTGTTAGCGAGCACCTATGAACGCCCGACCACCTTTGTCTCCCCAGTCGCGATGTTTACACCAGGTACTCATTTGAGGCTGAGTCGACCCAGGGGAGGCCCAGGGCCGGTTCAGATAATCGTCACTGGTGTGGGCCGTGAGCGGGAATCGAACCCGGATAGCCGGGTTCATAGCGCAGCGTAGCGCTAACCTCTACACTATCACTCACTCACACACTCACACGCTGCTGAACAGAGGCAGAACATACAACCCCCACACAGAAAGGCACCCGGGTAGGAATTCGAACCTAGGGCCTTATTAGCTGCTTAGTTAATAATCACTGACTGATGCTGAAAGTATTGTGTGGTATTCTTTGGGTCTTTCGGTAGTAAGTACAGTGACAGTAAGTACAATTATAAACGCGTAACTCTTACAACCTAGGTTAACACGGTGGCAACATCTGGTAACGCCCCTATGGAAGTGACGTCACAGCGCTTTGCAAAGGAGTGTGGGTATTTTCAAAAATGGCGGTATGAGCACATGTCACAGCGTCGGTCACGTGGAGCCATTCTTTGTCAATCCGGTGGGGGAAAAAATTCGATTAATAATTTACAAGTGTTGTGCACTGTTGTTTGCGAATGATAACGACGATTGTTGTTAAAAAACGACAACATTAATTAAATCTGCTACGTGTTTCCCAAATGACAACCCTGGGCCTACCTTGAAAATTGAGATGTTCCGTCTCAAGGCAAACTTCCAGGTGAAATATTTGAGTAATAGATAAAGTAAACGGTGATGATGGCAATGTTGATGACAATGTAGATGACGATCATTATGATGAAAACAAAGATCATGATGACAAATATGATAACGCCTTTTGGCATCCTCTGGTCTAGCACCAATTGGGTCGAGGCTCAAAAGAAAGCCGTCCCTGGTGTGGACCAATCAGTTTCAAGGACAATGCATATATTATCATAGTGTGTGTTTTTGTTTGCAATTTGACCACAAGTTTTGTGGTTAATGCACACATGAATCCTTCTAAAAGGTTTCAGTTTTGTTGCCAGAAAAAAAGGGAAAAACCCTATTATTATGGCAATGACGATGTTGTAGATTATATGATGATGACATGGATGACAACGACAATGTTAACAGCGATGATGATGATAATGACGATGTAAGCAACGTTGACGATGACAATGATGAAAACGATGATGGTGATAACGGAAGTGACAATGTTGACAATGTTGATGATGATTATAATGATGACGAGGATGACAGTATTAATTATGGTAATGAAGGTGATGACGACAAAGATGACAACGACGATGTTGACGACAATGATGATGACGACGGCAATGACAATGTCAGTGACGTTGACGACGACGACGATGATGACGACGATGATGATGATGATGACGACAGCAATGACAATGTCAGTGACGTTGACGACGATGATGATGACGATGATGACGATGATGACGACGATGATGATGACGGCAATGACAATGTCAGTGACGTTGACGATGACGACGACGACGATGATGATGACGACGATGTGGGTTGCCCCCTTGCCAGCTTGCGACTGCCATCCGGTGGGCTCCTCGGGCAAGACGTGCAACCAGACGAGTGGGCAGTGCCCGTGCAAGGACGGGGTCACGGGGCTCACCTGCAACCGCTGTGCGCGCGACTACCAGCAGAGCCGCTCGCCCGTCGCACCCTGCATACGTACGTGCACACACACACACACACAAAGGTCACCTGTGTAGCCTTAACGGACTGTAGGGGGCAAGTGCTGTATAGCAAGTAGCACCTATGATGGCCGGCATGGTACACGAAGGGGGTGGGTGGCAAACAGCCACGCCCGACCGCCTTCGGAACCGGTCCCGGGCCTCCACTAGGTCTACTCAGCCTGAAATGACTACCTGATGTCACGTACATGCACACACACATACACAAGACAAAGGTCCCCCGTGTAGCCTTAACGGACTGTTGGGGCCAGTTGCTGTGCTGTTAGCGAGCAGCACCACCGAACGAAGGCCGGTTTACGGCACATAAAGGGGTAGGTGGCAGGCACACACAACCCGACCGCCTTCGTCACCCCAGCGACGACGTTGTACACACCACAACAGGTACTCATTTGAGGCTGAGTCGACCTAGGGGTGGAGGGGGCGCAGGACCGGTATTGGTGGCCGTGAGCGGGACTCAAACTCGGGTCGTCGGGTTTTGTAGCGAAGCGCGCTGACCGTCTGCACTTCCGTACCTGCAATGCAGCACTGTGGAGGAAGCAGCGAGGGTTAGTGGATCACACGCAGATGGTTGGGAATCTCCCTTCTCGTGGGCGCCGAGGAGGAGCCGTACCCCGGCTCGCCAGGAGAAGTCGGTGCAGAAAACAAAAACGTGGGCTCCACCCGTTCCATCTGTAACGGAGATCGAGTGTTGCCCCCTCGCGCGCGCGCGGGTTCTCTCCGGGTGCTCTGGTTTCCTCCCACGTGCACTAACACTCGTTAATTGGCTGAAAATATCTTAATGTATAGAGGGCCGCCGAGCTTAGGCAGTTTTTGGTGCTGGCTCCTCTACCTGGCTGTTGCCTTTCCCCACTCGTCTGTGATTCCTCAATCCTGGCGCCCCTGAGCCGCCACCACCTCTCTCTCTCTCTGTGTGTGTGTCTACGAGAGCATGCGGATACTACGCAAAAGTGGCGGGGAGTGAGGGTGGGAGTCCAGTGTTGCGAGTTGACATGATCCTTGTTGTTGCCCGTGTTGTTGTTGTTGCTGCTGCAGGAATCCCTCATGCCGAGCCGACTCCGATGGTCACCACGACACAGGCGCCCAAAGGTTTGTCCACTTATCGTGAGACTACATGCGTGTGCGTGCGTGCGTGTGCGTGCGTGTGCGTGCGTGTGTGTACATGTGTGAGGTCGACTCAGCCTCAAATGAGTACCTGGTGCGGTGCGTAAAAAGATCGCCACTAGGGAGACAAAGGCGGCTGGACGTGGTGCTGGCCACCCACCCTGTCGTGTGCCGTTCCGGCCTTCATAGGTGCTCGCTCACAGCACTTGCCCCAACAGCCTGTTAAGGCTATACTCGGGATCTTTGTCTTTGTGTGTGTCATCTCAGTCAGTCAACCCAGGACGCCTGGGTCTGCCCCGTGCCCTCCTGCCAGCGGGCGTCAGACACTTCACGTGGCATTAAAGTGCACATAGCGTGGCACAAGCGCCACGGTGACGTCACCGCCACTTAGTGGCGAATGGCGGAGGTTGTCGTTGTGTGTGTAAGTTGACTCAGCTTCAAGTGAGCTACCTGCTGCGGTGTGTAACGATCGCCACTGGGGAGACAAAGGCGGCCGGCCGTGGTGCTGGCCACCCACCCCTCTCGTGCGCCATGCTGGCCTCCAATCATGCTGATTAAGTGTGATTAACCCGACTGGCACCGTGGACTCAATGTGTGTGCGTTGAACTTCGTTCGCACCGTACGCAGCCAACCAAAGTCGCATTAACATAATTAGTTATGCAACATTGACATAATATATTGTTATTCATATGGATCAAATCAACCCCCCTGGGTTCTCCGCCCTTGGTAGGTGCACAGTGATGACATCACCCGACCATACTTAAGAGAGAAAAAACAGGCAGGGCACTTCACAATTTTGGCAATCGCCTGATGATGCCGGTTGTTATTGTAATCACCGGCGATAACGTGGTGAACTCAGGTTGTAAATGTTCTTGTGGGTTGCTCTCCAACACAGCGGTGGTGCTGAAGGCGAAACTAACTGGAGCGCCACGGTGGCGAGATGTTTACGACCTCGCCTGGTATTCAGGAGGTCGTGGGGTTCATGCCGACCCTGATGCCTGCTGTATATTTGAAGTTTTCGCTTCTCTCTCCCAGTGATCGCGTGGATTTTGCTCCGGGTGCTCGGGTTTTTCCCTCCACATTAAGAATCAACGTGGGTTTAGAGTATTTCAATTTTGGCTGCTATATATTTCCACACGACGATAAGCCACTTTGTTGAGCTATCATTTATGATAGCCAGGTCAGTTTTCCAGCTCAGTGGCCTTACTTGGTAAAATAAAAAAAAAATGTTATAAAGTTAACTAATTGGCATGTCTTGTGCCACGTGACAAACCTTACTGATTGGCTGTGTCGGGTGGATGTGGGTTCACGACATAATTGTACAGGGACTCCTCTACTTGCGAACATTCGACTTGCGAACTTTCAGAGATACGAACAAACCTGTCCGTATGTCCAGTTTCCTCGTCGGACTGACAGTCGTAAGTTCAACCGTCGCACAATAGATGTCGGTGGTGGCATCTACACCTGCAGAACGTGTAGCACCAGTGGCATCTACGGGATATTATACAACCTTTAAAGCCATTCGCCGTGTTTAATGTGCTTGCCGTCCAACATGTGGCATCTACAGGATATTATACAACCTTTAATGTACTTGCAGTCCAACATGTTTGGAATGGACAGGAGTAAATTTAGACATCTGGAATCTAACTCGTTCGTGAGTAGAAGAGTCCCCGTATTCACGCGATCTTAACCCAACAAACCTTTGTTTATGAGTGAGTCCGTACCCTGTTTCCGTGTTCCAAGTCAAAAAACCCCGTGGTCAACTTTCTTTAAAACTCTCTCCGGTTCTCTCACAAACGCGCCGTGTACAGCAAATCGCCCCCCTGCCCTTCTCTCTCTCTCTCCTCTCCGCGCTCTAAACAAAAAGGGCCGTTGCCCGAAACGTCGTACGGTTTACATGTCACCGCGGGTTGGGGCGAATGGGCACGGTGGTGAGCGCACCGCGCATCGAACCCCCGACCACCTGAGTTTGATTCTAGACCACGGATTGCATCCGTGGTGATTGATAATCTGAACCCCCGGCCTCAATCGTGGGCTCCCTCCTTCACCAGCGCGCGCTGACCGGTGAAGTATGGCCACAACCCCCCCCCCCCCCACGTTGCCGTCATCCAGCAGTGGATTGATAAGTATTATTGTTACTACTACGACTACTTACGGCGATTATTGACCCGGCAGCGGATCGACTCAACGAGTTGTTCAGGAGTGGATCGAATGGAATTGACTCGGCAGTGCACTGATCCACAGCTGTGCTGCCGATGAAAGTATCGTCGGTGTTTGAGATAAAGACAAAGATCCCTCCCTTGCTGTTGGGGGCAAGTGCTGTTAGCGGGGGGAAGGGGGGGACGGTGGTTCAGCACCACGCCCAGCCGCCTTTGTCTCCTCCAGTGGCGATGTTTTACTACGCACCGCGCCAGGCACTCATTTGAGGCTGAGTCGACCTAGGGTAGGACCCGGTTCGGATATAATCGTCACTCATAGGCGGAGTTTGGCTTCTGTATTTCGGGAGGGGGGAGTTCACTTTGTCCCTCATATGAGGAATCGCGGGCGTACGTAATTATTTTATTTATTTTAAAATCTTAATTGTAAACTACTGAAGATAAATTAATAAAGGTGCCCAGTTTGTGAGGGAGGGGAGGGGCATTGCCCCCCCCATGCCCCCCCCCCCAAACTCCGCCCACGTCATCATCGGTGCTGGTGGCCGTGAGCGGGAATCGAACCGGGACCTTCGCCGGGTTCGCAGCACAGTGGCTCGCGCGGACTGCCACACTGAGGAGTTGCAGTCGCGGCCACCACCACCACCACCAAGCCACCCACCCCCACCAACCTACCCACCCCCACCAACCTACCCACCCCCACCAACCCACCCACCCCCACCAACCCACCTACCCACCCCCACCAACCCACCCACCCACCCCCACCAACCCACCCACAAACCCACCCACCCCCCACCAACCCACCACCCCCACCACCAACCAACCCCCCCCCACCACCAACCCACCCACCCCCCACCAACCCACCCACCCCCCACCAACCCCCCACCAACCCACCCCCACTCACCCCCCACAAACCCACCCACCCCCACCCACCCACCCTCGCAAACCAAAAAAAAGGAGCTTTAGCCGGGCGCGCGCGAGAATAAGACTAAGAAGAAGAAGAAGACGAGGTGAGAATGTAAATAAATAAACGAAGCCAAACAACAACGGGGGCGAAATGAGATAGATAAATAATGAAATATCCCCCTGCGTACACAAATAAAGAATGAGCGAGCGGGCGAGCGAGCGAGCGGGCTAATGAATGAACGAACGAGAGAGAAAGGCGGAGTGGGAGGAGAGGGAGGAGATGCAGGAGAAGGTTTCTACAAAAAAAAGTGTGGGGGGTGGGGGGGGGCGCTCCCAGAGGCGCGACAGACAGAGGCCACTTTGTGTTCAGATAGAATCGCGATGGACCCTGCCTGCCGCCTCCTCCTCCTCCTCCCCGCGCCCTTTGTGTGGAGGTGACGACGCGTGAATCGAGAGGGGCTGCGGAGGGGAATGGGGTGGGTGGTGGTGAAGGGAGCGGGGGGGGGGGCTGGGAGTAGGGGGAGGGAGAAGTGATGGGGGGGGTGGTAAAGTAGGGGGGGGGGGTCCCCACGTCGCCTTCTCTGGGTTCGTGTTGCCCCACCGCCGCCGATTCGTGAACTGCCCTGGCCTGCTGCGGAGTGGTCGTACAGACGCCGCTGACGCAGAGAAGGAACTTGCGGGCTTCGGTATTGCCTTGGGCTGCGGAGGGTGGGGGGCCACGTGTGGGGGGAGAGGGGGGGGAGCGGTGGCACAGTGGTGAGCGCGCTGCGCTACGCACCCGGCGGCCCGAGTTCGATTGCCGCTCACGCCCATCAACACCGGTGACGATTGTCTGAACCACAGGTCGACTCAGCCTCAATGGAGTCCCTGGTGCGGTGTGTAAACATCGCCATTGACCATTGACTGCTCTCTGAGTCAATGGTCAAACGGTTCTGGGCCTCCCCTAGGTCGACTCAGCCTCAAACGAGTACCTGGTGCGGCGATTATTTGAGGTGCGGCTACTTAACAGCACTGGAGAGACAAAGGCGGCCGGGCGTGTGATGTTGACCACAAACCCGGTGACGGCCTTCATAGGTGCCACTCGCCGAACGGCACTCGGCACCCAACATTCTGTTGAAGTCAAATCCCAGCCAACCAGGGTTCGAGTCGATAACGTCGGTGGCGAGTCGTATTCCTCTCCCCGAGATCGGCTCAGCCATAAAACTGCTGCGGTGTGCAAACACAAAGGCGTGCCAGCCGGCCGTCCTTGACACCAGTTCCTACCGTGGAGGTGGTCTGACCACTCAACCATTGGCTCATTATCGGTAAGATAAGCGCGCCACACTTCACTACAGGGGTAAGCGTCCACCTAGAAACCCCTCCATCCCCCCCCCCCCCAATTGAAAGGGTGAGGTGCAGGGAGCGTGGCTCGCACAGCTGCTTAGTACAACAACTCAGCGAATAGCAATCGGGGCAAAAGCAACTGCGTTGCGGGAAGAATTGTTTTTTTTGTATCTCTCTCGACAAACAGCGCACAAGCATCGTGAACGAAGCTAAAACGTGTCAATCTCGATTTGAAGCTTTCGTGACTGCAGGAATCCATCATACTCTTTGGTTCTTTCGGTAAAGTCACGTAGGTAGAAATAAAACCACAGTAGATCACGAATGTTTCCTACGTCAGCAGTCCTCCTGCTGTGTTTGTTTCACACCTGAAGACGGTTGCTGATGTTGCGATCGAAACGTCGTGATCTACTACTATTATTTTTTTATACCTACGTGACTTTACCGAAATAACCAAAGAGCACTAAAACGTTTCATTTTATTTTACCGGGTAAGGCCCCAAGTGAGCCGTGTAGCTCTTCATCAGAGGCGACCTAGCGATCGCAAATGACAGCTCAACGAAGTGGCCTTCTCGTGGGGGGGGGGGGGGAATTGCCAGCAGCCACC